CCATACAGTTCTTTTGAGATAACAATACTGTTTTAAAATGTCTTTGAAGTTTTGCTGTTTTGCAAAAAGTTGATCAGCTATTGCTTCATGTTTATACTTGCACTGTGTCTTCCCAAATGCACTTGGTTAGTTCTTCCAGTGTGCTCTTGTGGTTTTGACTCTTCTGCTTTCATGGCCTCTTTAATTGAAGACTTCCAGGAAGATACACAACTCAAGGTCTGCTTCCATAGGGAGAACTTTTCTCTCTTGAGTCAAAAGGAGTGACAATAAATATTTCAGTTGGCTACTTTCAGACCTAAATCCTGGTTTATTTTTTTTTAATTTTTTATTTATTTATGATAGGCACACAGTGAGAGAGAGAGAGGCAGAGACACAGGCAGAGGGAGAAGCAGGCTCCATGCACCGGGAGCCCGACGTGGGATTCGATCCCGGGTCTCCAGGATCGCGCCCTGGGCCAAAGGCAGGTGCCAAACCGCTGCGCCACCCAGGGATCCCCTAATACAACTTTTTTAAAAGATATATTTACCTATTTGAGAGAGAGAGGGGGGTGCCTGGGTGGCTCAGTGTCTGCCTTCAGCTTAGGTCATGATCTCAGGGCCCTAGGATCAAGCCCAGCATTGGGCTCCCTGCTCAGTAGGGAATCTGTTTGTCCCTTTCCCTCTGCCCCTCACCCATGCTCCATGTTCTCTGTCTCTCAGATAAATAAAGAAAATCTTTTTTTAAAAGTTACTATTGAGAGTGTGTGCACTCACTTGGTGGGTGACAGGGGGAGAGAGACAAGAGGGATTTTTTTCTTGTTGCCCCTTCAATGGTCTGAATGTGTTCCCCCTACTTCCAAAATCACACATTGAAACCTAAACCCCAAGGTGATGTTTTAAGAGCTGGGGATTTTTAGGGATGCCTGGGTGGCTCAGTGGTTTAGCGCCTGCCTTCAGCCCAGGGTGTGATCCTGAAGTCCTGGGATTGAGTCCCACATTGGGCTTCCTGCATGGAGCCTGCTTCTCCCTCTGCTTGTGTCTCTGCCTCTCTCTCTCTCTCTCTCTGTCTCTCATGAATAAATAAATAAAATCTAAAACAAACAAACAACAACAAAAAAAAAAAAGGAGCTGGGGATTTTAGACAGTGATATAGAGATCTCATCACCTGGATTAGTGCCCTTAAGGAAAAGGCCTGAGAGGGGTGCCTGGGTGGCTCAGTCAGTTATTTGGCTCAGGTCATAATTCCAGGGTCCTGGGATTGAGCCCCATGTCCCTGCTGAGCAGGGAGCCTTCTTCTCCCTCTCCCTCTGCCCCCCACTCGTGCTTGCTCTGTCTCTCTAGTGCTGTATCTCCCTCAAATAAATAAATAAAATCTTTTTTAAAAAATTTAAAAAAGGCCTGAGAGAGCTCCCTAACCTCTTCCACCATGTGAGGATGCAAGCAGAAACCCAGAAGAGGGTCCATCAGGCCATTCTGGTACGCTGATCTCGAATTTCCAGCCACCAGAACTGTGAGACATAAATCTGTTTACAAGCCACCGTCTATGGTACTTTTGTTATAACAGCCCAAAGACAGTCCCTTATAGGTTCACTAACTTTAAAATATTTTCAGCATTGTACCAACTATCCTTTTTAACCCAGTTTTTTGTTTTGTTTTGTTTTTTTAAATCATGGTCCCATATAAGGATGCTTTGATTGGTAGAGATCAGAGATGCCTGGAGGGTGTGGAGCCAAGGTGAATCTCAGTACTTCAGAAAACTCCTTCCTTTTCTCTGGGGTTTTGGAGTCTTGAACAAAGTCACAGATAAGATATAAAATTGAAAATATTCCCAACAGTCCCAAAGTTGTTAATCTTGTGTTAATATTCACAACTGTCACCAACTGGTTTTACTTTACAAAACTGACATTGTATCTTATCACCATGATGACTTAACACTTCATATATGCCATAAAGAATCACTTTGCTTCCATAGATGATGTTATAGATTGAATATTTGCATGCCCTTGAAGTTCAGATGTTTAAGCCCTAATCCCCAGTGATGGTATTTACACATAGGGCCTTTGGGACATAATTAGGTTTAGATGAGGTCATGAGGGTGGGGTTCCATAATGGGATTGGTGTTTTTGTGAGAAGAGATCGGTTTCCTTTCTCTTTACCATGTGAGGACACAGCAAGAAAGCAAGCGAGGAAAAGGGTCATCACCAGAACCCAAACATGCTGGCAGTCTGGTCTCTGACTTCCAGCCTCCAGAACTGTGAGAAAAGAAATTTCTGTTGTTTTAGCCTCTCGGTCTATGGTATTTTGTTAAAGCAGTCCAAGCCAAGTCATATGACCTTAAAAATTTTAAGAACACCCTGTTTAGCACTAGTCTTCAGGCTCAATGATGCCTGAGTCATTTCAGAAAAACATATACACCCTTGAGATTTGAAACAGTTGCATCTGTGGGTGCAACTATGTAGGAAAACATAGGGTAGCAGAGGCCTGACATCAGGCCAAAGTTTCAGGCATCAAAGAGAAGAGATAAACTAATACCAACTTGGAAAAGGGAAGATGTAGCAGAATTGGAGTGGCAAAATTGGGAGAGGTTGAGAAGATAGCAGAGAGTGTCCCACACAGCAGAGGTCACAGGCAAAGGTCTAAGTGCAGGGAACTACTATTGGATGGAGCTCAGGGAAGAGCTATCATTAGTGAGGGCGGAATGCACAGTGTCAGTATATAGACCGCATCAAAAACCTGCAGGCACTTGCCTGCTGGATTGAGAGTGAGCCGAAAGTGTTGGAACTACTGAGCTTCACAAAGCCTGGTATCCAGAACAGCTCAAAGGTCAGAGCCACGAGACCTTTGCCTGGAGTGTTCTATCATCGCTGGCAAATATCTTCCTTCCTCAGCAGATTGGTTGCCTTATACTGAGCCCGAGTAGAAGACCAGGCCAGTTCAAGGAAAGCACAATATTCTTCACCCATGAGCTGGGGGCCATTTAATGAGATCTAACTAGCCATCGACACAGTATACAAAGGACTGAGATGTGAAGAGCAGTGTCCATCCTACACCTTTTGCTTAGAAGGCTTGATCCTCACATGGCTCAGTTGGCCTTTAACTCTGATCCCACATGACTCCTCAGTGTTGGTGAAATACAATTATTACATCCAGGAAGGAAGGCCTGAGCAGAGTTGAGGATTCCTCCAAACATCTCCTTGTGCTAGGGAGTACTTGAGCAGCCCTGCTATAATCTTTGATGACTGCAAGCCTGTCTTGGGTTCTGCCTCTTATGTGGCTATCATTCCTTGTCTCCTCTGAGCTTTTGGGAAAAGTCACCCTGAGAAGAGGTGGCAATAGCACTGCCTTCCCACCTACAATGCAGTATGGATGGACACTGCATGCTGAAGCCTCTCATGTCAGAAAACTTTTGGTCTTTCCCTTGGTCTCATGGAAGGACCCAGGGGAACACATATAGCCCACCTACAGGTTTTGGTAAACTCTGTACTGAAATGTTTTTTGAAATGCCTTCTAACATAAAGTCAAAAGCCACGTAAAAATCTGAATATCTGGGACACCTAGGTGGCTCAGCGGGTTAAACATCTGCCTTCAGCTCAGGTCATGATCCCAGGGTCCTGGGATCGAGCCCTGCATCAGACTCCCTGCTCAGCAGAGAGCCTGCTCCTCCCTCTCCCTCTGCTGCTCCTCCTGCTTGTTCTGTCATATAAATAAATAAAATATTTTTAAAGAAATCTGAATATCTGGCTCTTCCCAGAAAGCCAAGATATCTGGGAAACCCATATTAACTCCACCATGTTGTCTCCTCACCCCTTAATAAAAAGGACAGACTTCCTTGGTGGCTACCAGAAGTGGAACAATGAAGGCCATGGCTATTCTCTAGAAACTCTGGCTACTTACATAATCCATTCTCCAGACCATGAGCTCTATCCTCTTGATGATGGGGCTCCTGTATGGTGATAACCACAAGGTGAACAGCTCAGGAAGAATACAGGAATTCATAAAACACTTGTTTGGATTTCCATTATAGGTGATACACAGGTCTGCAGGTCCTGAGAAGCTCTGCACTCTTATCTCACTTGGATAGTCATCTGGAAGTTATTTTTTTAATGAAGATTTTATTTTTAAGTAATCTCTACATCCAAAGTGGGGCTCAAATTCACAACCCCGAGATCAAGAGTTCCATGCTCTACCAACTAAGCCATATAGGCACCTCAATCTAGAAGTTTTTGTTGTAACTTTAGAACAACCAAGTTCTTTCTAGTTTACCAGTCTGCTCAAAACCCCATGTTTCTGTACTAACAATGGCTCCCAAATGGCTCCTGTAGATCTCAGATTAAATTATATTTGCTTCACCCTACACAATAGAACTACAGCTGATGGAGAACTGTGGTACTCCTTTGTCCCCAATGGCAGTGCTGTAACTTACTAGTCTCCCCAACTCCCTATTGCTTCATACCCCTTGTTTCTCTATCTACTGGGCCTCTACTGGCCACCCAGGTCATATCTCCCTATTAGGAACAAGAAGACTGCTTCCCCTCAAATGGGGGAACCCAGACTTCTCTCTACAAACTAGAGACCTGCCTCCTAATCCAACAGGCTATGCTAATGTTGCAGACTAGCATCTCCTTCTTCAGGGTGAGCTCTGGGCCTTCAGGTAACTCTGAAACATAGGCCACTATGTTCATTCTATGAGCCCTTCAGGTGCAATGCAAAGTAGACTATAATAGAACATAGAGCAACTCCCTATGTTCCTTCTATATCTTGAGGCAGAAGTTGTTGGGTACTCTGTCTCAGCCATTCCTCACTCTACTTGCTTCTTTTTTCAACCTACCCCACCACAACTCTCAAGATTAAAGTTGACTTGATTGGGGTACCTGGATAGCTCAGTTAAGCATCTGATCTTGATTTCAGATAAGGTAATGATTTCAGGGTTGTGAGATTGAGCCCTGCATCAGGCTCTGTGTTGGGCATGGAGCCTGGTTAGGATTCTCTCTCCCTCCCTCTCTCTCTCTCAAAAAAAAAAAAAAAAAAGTGACTTGGTCAATAAAGTTCTTTATTATTATGCAGAATACAGAAGACCAAGATAAGTGATTCAAGGGGAGGGTGATGTGTGGGCTCAGTGGACACATCATTGGGGTTACATGCAGACATGACAACATCCATGAGGAATGAGGAATGTGGATCTTCCTGAGAAGCCCAAACTGGACATCCCTCAAGGCCCCTCAACCAGCATGGGATTAGTTTACATCCTAACTGTCTTACAGGCAATGGGAATGAAGCCATTCCAGTGGACCCAGGACAATCATGAATCCCTCCAGGAAAAAGGAAGGAGAGATGTTTTTCCATGTATATGTAGATATTTGGATCCAGGCAGGCTGGAAAGGGGAGATAGTTCAGCTGTGGGCTGCTCAGAAAGGGCAGAGTACATTCTGAGGGCTTCTCCACATTAGTGGTACATGTAGGTAACTTCGCTGTGGGTATTCTGCTGCATGAAGTTTGACTTGGCTGAAGATCTTCTCAGAAGGATCATATCCATAAGGCTCCATTCAGGTATGAATCCTTTTATGCTGAGCTAGATTGCAGAGGCGGCTGAAGACTTTCCCACAATGGCTACACTCATAAGTCCTTTCCCTGGTGTGAACTATTTGGTGTCGAACAAGTGTAGATCGTTCACTAAAGGCTTTCCCACACTGGCTACACTCATAGGGCCTTTCTTGTGTGTGAACTCTCTGGTGACGAACCAGGTGGGAGTTATTGCTGAAGCCTCTCCCACATTCACTGCATTCATAAGGCCTTTCTCCAGTGTGAACCCTCCAGTGATAAATGAGGCTGGACTTTCGGCTAAAGAATTTCCCACATTCACTGCACTCATAAGGCCTTTCTCCAGTGTGAACTTTCTGATGTTTAGTGAGAATGGAGTTCTGGCTAAAGAACTTCCCGCATTCGCTGCACTCATAAGGCCTTTCTCTTGTGTGAACTCTCCAGTGCTCAATGAGACTGGAACTGTGAGCAAAGGCTTTCCCACATTCACTGCACTCATAAGGTCTTTCCCCAGTATGAATTCTCCAGTGCTGAATCAAACTGGAGCTGCGGCTGAAGGCCTTTCTACATTCACTACATTCATAAGGCCTTTGCCCAGTATGTACTTTCTGGTGCTGAACGAGGGTGGAGCTATTGCTGAAGGCTTTCCCACATTCGGTGCATTCAAAAGGCCGTTCTCCAGTGTGAACTTTCTGATGTCGAAGGAGGTGGGAGCTTTGGCTGAAATCTCTTCCACATTCACTGCACTCAAAAGGCCGTTCTCCAGTGTGAACTTTCTGGTGCTGAGCGAGGTTGGAGTTATTGTTAAAAGCTCTTCCACACTCACTGCACTCATAAGGCCTTTCTCCAGTGTGAACTCTCCAGTGCTGAATGAGAGCAGAGCTGCGACTGAAGGCTTTACCACACTGATTGCATCCATAAGGTCTTACTTGAGTGTGAACTTTCTGATGCCGAAGGAAATTGGAGCTTTGGCTGAAGGCTCTTCCACATTTGCTGCATTCAAAAGGCCTTTCTCCAGTGTGAACTTTCTCATGACGAGTGAGGTGTGACCTGTTATTAAAGGCTTTCCCACATTCACTGCACTCATAAAGCCTTTCTCCTGTGTGAATTCTCTGGTGATGAACAAGTGTGAGTTTGTGGTTGAAGGTTTTCCCACAATCACTGCACTCATGTATTAGTCTACTGTGAAATTTCTGGTGCTTCCTCAGTTTAGAAGTGTGATTGAAGGTCTTCCCACACTCTTTACACACATGACATGTCTTTCCATCATGACATTTTTGGTGATTTACAAGGGTTGATTTCTCTTCTAAGGAATTTCTAACTGTTGAGCATCTAAATGCTGTCCCTTCAGAGTGAGTTCTCAGGTGGCTGAGCAGAGTGGAGGTCTTCTGAAAGGCTTTTCCATAATTGTTGCACTTGAAGAGCTTCTGTGTGGTATGGACTTCTGTGAGCTGCTCAAGATTAGAGCTATGTAAGGCCTCCCTACACTCTATGCTCCTTTGTGGTCTCCTGCTGTTGCCAAAGGCTGGGTGCTGGAAGAGGTCATGGCTGTCCAAGGCATCCTTACCACCTTCCCCACAAGTGAAAGGCTTCTCTGACAGGTAGACTACAAGGTTTTCTACAAATGAATCCTTGTCCTTGTCCCATCTGAAGGGCTTTTTTCCACTGTATCCTTTGTCCTTCTGGTGATAGTGAAGGTTTGCACTGAACTCAAATTCTCTTCTACATGTTCCACATGTGTAGGGGGTCTCCTTAGGATACGTTCTTTGACGTTCATCCAGGTGTAAAATGTTTTTCAAGAATGGGCTACACATATCACAGGTGTCAGCCTTCTGAGTGGAAGGATTTACACTAGGGATCCTGACCTGTGACATCCCTTCTACAGAAGCATTCTGCTTTGAACGGGCCCCCTCATCTTCCACTCCATACCAACAACCTGAAAGCAGAGAAATTTCTGGATAACTGAGTGTTCCACTTGGTGGAAAGGGTGGCTTCAACAGAAATGAGTGGCTGACATATACAGGAATGGGTCTGAGGGATGGTGACAGGCCAAGGGGGCCAGAATAAGAGTGAAGGGCCTACTGTGCAGGACAGGGCCTAGCCAAGCTATAGAATAAAGGAGACCTTACTATAGGCAAGGACAAAGAGAAGGACAAAGAACTTGAATAGATATTTCCCAAATACACACACACACAAAGGGCCAATAAGCACATGAAAAATTGCTCAACATTAGTCATTAAAAAAATGCAACCAAAACTACAGTGAGATACCACTTCACACCTACTAGGATATTTATGGAAAAACAGACAATGACAAGGGTTGATAAGGAAGTAGAAAAATCGGAATACTCATACACTGCTGTGAAAATATAAAATGGTGCAGCCAATTTGGAAAATAGTTTGGCAATTCCACTCCTATTTATCTATCCAAGAGAAATGAAAATGTACCCATGCAAAACCTTTTACTTGAATGTTCATAGCAACATTTTTCATAACACTCAAAAAATGGGAACAAGACAATGCCCAATCAACTGATGAATGAATAAACAAACTGTGGTATATCTACACAATGAAATATTATGTGGCCATGAAAAGGAATGAAGTACTAATATGTGCTACATGGATGAACCGCAAAAATATTATGCTAAGTGAAAGCCATTCACAGAAAAACATATACTGTGTGATTCCATTCACATGAAATGCCTGAATAAGCAAATGTATATAGTCATGAAGTATATTAGCAGTTGCCTAAGGCTGAGGGAGAAGAGGTGAGGGAGGATGGGGAGTGACTGGTAATGGGTACAATTTCTCTTTAGGTGATAAAAATGTTCTCAAATTAGATGATGGTGATATTTATACAACTGTGCAAATACACTAAAAACCTGTAAATTACACACTTTAAAGTGCGTAAAGTTCCAACTTTATGGTATATCTCAATAAAATTATTTCTAAAAAAAAGTCTCAGGGAGGAAGGGACAGAATTTAGGCATGGCTCCACACTGGGTCACCCAGCCAGGAACTGGTCAAGCTGAGTGGAATCCATCAGGCAGATGATAGGTGCCCAATCCCCAACCTGGCCAACAGCTACTGGGACAATTCATGAGGCTGTTGAGAGAGGCAGGGAGAGTGCACACAGCCCAGTTCCAGCACCCACAGCACCTATAACAGGAAACCTGGGAAGAACTAGTGCCTGGGTTCCAGCTTTGGAATGAACAGAAAACTTTCTACCGGAAGAAGGCAAAACAACAGAAGCTGGTCACCATGCTGAGGCAGGGCAGAAAGGCCTTACCAAGGGAGGTCATGAGCTCAAAGTTCTCCAGCATCACACTGTAGTACAGATGCCTCTTGCCGGCATCAAGAAGCTTCCACTCCTCCTTAGAAAAGTATACAGCCACATCTTCAAAGGTCACTGGGCTCTGCAATGACAAGACAGCTAAGCCAAGGGGTCAATAGATAGGCTGAAAAACAAACAAAATCATTAAATGGACACATCCAGGCCCTTGGCCTATGACTCAGAGTTATGCCACATCTACCACTGGCATCTCCTCTTCTTGTGACCCCCTCAGTCCATCATTCCCTGACTCACCTGCAGGTCTTCCTCCTCCTCAGGCCCCCACCTCAGAGGAGATAAGAGGCCCTGACACCACTGGTGTCCCTCTCTCCTTGTAGTTCCACTGGTCACTGTATCCAGGCAAATCCAATCCAGGGGAACAAAAAGCAGGTGGGCACACAAATGCTGTCTGAGCTCTGGGCAGGCCAGGAATCCCTTCTCCATAGTAAACAAGCTCTCCTGTGTTGTGTCTCTTGTCTTTCCATATCACACCTTCCAAGTATAAAAAAATTCAGACTCTCTTTTCTCCCTTAAGCTTCTACTACTAGGGACCTGAGCACACTGGTTCACATTCCCTTATTTTGTATATGTCACTCTTTGGACCATACCATCTTCATATCTAACCACCCCCCTATCCCTTTTTTTTTTTTTTAAGATTTTTATTTGTGTACTCATGAGAGACCCAGAGAGAGAGGCAGAGGCACAGGCAGAGGGAGAAGCAGGCTCCATGCAGGGAGCCTGACGTGGGACTCGATCCTGGGCCTCCAGGATCATGCCCCCTGTGGCCGAAGGCGGCGCTAAACTGCTGAGCCACCCGGGCTGCCCAACACCCCCTCCCTTGTCTACACCACAGGCATCTCCCTAGTCCCTATATCCAACTATGCATGTGGCATACCCAACAAAGGCAACCAGGATCCAGCACTGAGCCTGGCTTGCCCCACATCTCCAAAAACCACCACTGCCACAAACAGCCATCACTTCTAATTAATGCTTCCCCTCTCAGCTCTGTTCCTTTAGCCTTCAGTTCTCCAGAACCATGAGTAAATCTTAAACACTGCTGCTCTCTTCCACCTCTACCCTTGTACATGCTGTCCCCTCACCAGTCATAGCTGTTCTCTCTCTTCCTATTAGACAAATCCCAGACCTACTGCCCCCCACACCTGGCTTGGGAACTTTTAGCTTGGAATGACCCTTTCTGCCTGATTACTCTCCAGTCCGAACCACATTACTACCCAGGCCCCAAGGAGGATGGCCACCAAAACCTACTGACCTGTAGAGAGGTAAACCAGTCTCACCTCAGGCCCCACTGTCATCTTATCTTTGTTACTTTCACGCTTCATTTTTTCATCCCAGGTCTAGTCTCTGGTCAGAGGCTTGGTCACCATTCTGGTCAACCTACAGCCATAAATAATGTCCACACACAAGTCTCCATTCCTTGGATGTCTCTAGCCTGCACTTGGTATAAAGCATACTCAGTATCACAATCTGGCAGTCTGTAGGACACCTCAAATACAATATGGCCAAAATCCAACTCTTTACCCTCCCTCTGATATGTACTCACTCTAATTTCCACATCTGAAAAACCTATCTGGGTCAATCCTCCTATCTCACTGCCTCACATCAGGAAATCTAGTCCACTCTACTTAAAAAGTTCAGGAGCCAGTAATTTCTCCTACTTCCACCTTTGGTCCTAAAGGACACACCAGAACTACTGAAGTCACTCAAGGGAAGGCTCAGTGGTCTTCCTGGCTCCAATCTCACCTCCATCACCCCCTGACTAAATCTGTTTTCCACTCAGGATCCAGAGGGAGCTTATTAAACCTGAGTCAGATCATCTCCCTTCTCTGCTCTAAACTATCCACACTCCTACCATGTTCACAATTGAGACTCAGCTCCTTAGCTTGCCATTCCAGGCCAATATCTGACCCCCTGCTCTCTACATCCACCAGATGAAATACAGACCTGCAGTTCCCTGAACACTTGCAACTGATAAACCTCCAAGAAATTTGCACATGACTGGGACACCCTTCCAGACCTTATCCCATAGGATTCCAGAAATGTGAATGTTGGGGGGAGATCATCAAGATGTGACTGCCAGTTGACCCATGCATGAGCTTGGCCTGGGCAGAGGGAGGTTTATCACCTCCTGTCCTTGTCATCACTTCCCATCTTCTATTCCCCCAGGGACACAGCTTTGAGATTGTGATATGGTGCTGAAACCGTCTGGATGGTATATGTAACTGAACCAAGTTAAAATCTCTGTATAAACTTAAGATTCAGTGGGCTAATGTGGAGGTCTATTTCTGGGGCTGTCCCAGGCAGCCTTCCTATGTACCTGCCCTTGCTTATTAAAATTTCACCTACTCATCTGGAGTGACCTGCTTCCTTCACTCTCTTCCTGCCGTCGGCCTATGGGGTCGGTGTCAGATTACATCAGAGAAGCTTCTCCTAAGGAGGCTGCCAACTAACAGTGAACCTCTCTATATAAGCTCTGGCCTGGATTCCGGAGGCTAGGAAAAGTGACTCAACTCCAGACTCAAGTGTAGGCGAAGAGTCCTGGACACACTATTCCCCGTACAGGGGCTCGAGGATCAGGACAGGGATCCCAGCGGGTGAGAAACCGGGGCACCTTCCACTCACCTGCCCTGGGTCCATCAGCGACGCTGCTGGCCTAGTCAGGCTGTGGGTTGGCCGGGACCGTGCGAGGCGGCGACAGGGACAATAAACAATGTGGGCGCATGCAAACCCCCACACCCTCACTGCCTGGGGTGACAGCAGGCTGACGGTCGCACTTAGGGCCTTAGTCTTCCCCAATATCAAATGCGCCCGAGGACCGGAGGGCCGCCTCCCGGGACCGCGGGTAGAAAGCGGAGGGCGGGGGCTCGTAAACTCCGTTTTACATCCGGGAAACCAAGGCTCAGAAAGGAGGAGCCATTACCCAAAGGGTGAAAGTGTGTGCAGTGGTGCGGTGACAGTTCCAACACTCCCCTACCCCCATCTCTGGTCCCAGTGGACGCCTGCCAAGCAGCCCACCAACCGCCAAGTTAAGAGCGCAATGGCGACAACGGAAACGCCCAGGCTCAGAGCAAGCCTCGGCTGGAGGCCGGCAGCCCACTACGACACTAGGTCCCTGAGCCAGTAGCTGTGCGGCTGGATCGTTGCCTAGGTGATGAGGACTCGCGCCCGCCGGGTCGCGGCTCACGCAACGCGAACTACATTACCCAGAAAACACCTCATCGAGTCCCATCAGTGCTTCCCAGTAAAGCACCTATGAGAGAGATGTTTCCGAGCGCACCAATGATGGGCTAGGGGAGGGGCGTTTCCGGAACCGCCGCGGTCTTCAGGCCACCACATCAGGTGTCCCGCAGTTTCCGTAACGGCTTGCGGTTTTGTCCGGAAGGGGTCTTGCACCGAGGGACCTTTGCGCCAGGCTATGGACGGTGTGGTGTCCAGGAGGCTCTCCGAGCCTGCGGGCGTGACCCACCCGGCTGGACTCTTGAGTCCCAGTGTTCTAAGTCCCTGACTGAGCTCCAGGCCTAGACGTTCAGGACAATGGGGGATTCGCGCAGATGCCAAGTGTTCATTCCATAATGTAGTATGTTAAGATGTAGAGGGTAGCGGCAGAGGGATCTGCTTATGCAAAGACTCAGAGGTGAGACTGATCTGAGGACATTCAGGAAAGTTCTGTCTTCCACTGCAAGGAACCAGGAGCATGAGTAGAGGGTGCTGGGACTCATAGAAATTTTTGAATAGAGGAGGGATGTCCGGGGCGCCTGGGTGGCTCAGTCAGTTAAGCGTCTGCCTTCGGCTCGGGTCATGATCCCAGGTGCCTGGATCGAGCCCCGCATTGGGCTCCCAGCTCAGCGGGGAGCCTGCTTCTCCCTCTGCTTCTGCCTCTCCCCCCTGCTCATGCTTGCTTGCTTGCTCTCTTCCTCTCTCTGTCTGAAATGAATAAATAAAATCTTAAAAAACAGAAAAAAGAGGAGGGATGTCCATGATCTGATTTAGGATTTTGAAAGTATCCCAATGTATAGCAAGTAAACATACTGAGTGAGCACACTGGTGGGAGAGGGGTTGTGGCCAGGCTGAAAACAGGGAGATTCATGAGAATGCTGCTGCAGTATTCATAGGGACAGTTATGAATACTGTACAGAGCAGGAGTAGGAGAGGTGAGAGAAGTGATCCGATTTCGGTTAGATTTTCAAGATGCAGTTGATAGGATTTCCTGATAGGAGTGAATGTAAGTAGTGGATAAAGGACCATCCCAAGTGTTTAGGAGAAGAGAGGTACTGCTGTTCATTGAGATGGAGGTTGGCAGGAGGAGGTTATGGGGAAGATAAGCAGTTAGAATTTGTAGATGTAGAGTCTGATTTGTCTGGAGACTCTGGGTGGGGGTGACACGTGTGCCTGTGAACATACAGGGAGTTCTGGTTTGGCCTCTGAAGTCCAGGCCACAGTCCAAGGAAGGACCTGAGAATGGCATTTTGGAAGGAGAGCCTTAAGTTGTGGTTACAGATGAATGGCCCTGAGGTGAATGTGGGGTATCCAGACTAAGGATCAGTGGTTAGGTGGAGGAAATGGGTGTGGAAGAAGAGAAGCACTGTCCAAAGACCGGTGGATCTGGGAAGAGTGCACATCCAGGAGGAGGATCCATTCTCAGAGAGTGAGCAGGGATGTCAGGGGACAAGGTTTGGGAGCTATAAGGGGAAGTGACTGCAGGACAGAGACTGGAGTTCCAGGTCCCATGCCCAGTGCTTAGATGCATCTGTTTCCTGGCCTGGTGTTGCAGAGTCCATTGATCCTTAAGGAGAAGATCACATACCTATTTTGGAAAAAGTGGAGCTACTACCATGGCATAGTCCTGTCTTCACCAGGTTAGGCAAATGTGTTCCCCATGGGATGTGTTGCTGGTCCTGGTGCTGGCCCATGTCTTGATGGCTCTTCTCCCAGAATGCTGCATAAGCAACCCCAACTGCTTTTGCCTTGAGACCTTTTCATCATTGTCAAGGGTCAAAAATATCACAATCCAAATAACAGATCACATCCAGCTTGGTGATTATCTGGCCAAGAGACCCCATCAGGGCCTGTTGCTTTTCTGTCCCCTCTGTCATACCTCCTCCATACTCCAGGAGGTTTTCTGCCAGCTGTCCCTTGTCAGCTCCTGTGATGGCACATGAGTACTGACATGGTCATTGATTGTGGGGACAATGAGCTTTTCTGCTGAGATCTTTCCTGGTTATTCATTTTGTGAGGTTCAGTTTTCCAGATGCATGGGTGATCCTCACTCACCTTGCTCTGTCATGGGTACATTACCCTGACATGGGGTTGACCTCTCACAAACCACTTGATCCATCATAAGAATGACTGTCTACACTACCCTAAATGTGGTCACCCAAGTTGAACCTGGCAAGAAGACCTGTACAGAGCATCTTGAATCAGTCAATTACCAGAGAGGCCCATGAAGGACCAGTCCTGGTCAATGCAAAACTGGTGTGGGAGGGCCTATAGCAGTGGGCTGATCTCTCATGTGGTACCTGACCTATGCCCTCTGTTACTCTGGTGCCCAATAGCCATGTCTCTTTTCTATCGTTCTGACCACTTGCTGACACTCTGTTCTACTTTCCCTTGACTCTTGACCCTGGCTGATTCCTCCATGTCTTTTGCCTCACAGCCTTTCTCCTTCTGTCCTCTTATGGTCAGGTCCTCCACAAGTGACCTCCCCTTAATGTGTCCTGTGCTGGGATCCCTGGGTGGGACAGTGGTTTATCGCCTGCCTTTGGCCCAGGGCGCGATCCTGGAGACCCAGGATCGAATCCCACGTCGGGCTCCCGGTGCATGGAGCCTGCTTCTCCCTCTGCCTGTGTCTCTGCCTCTCTCTCTCTCACTGTGTGCCTATCATAAATAAATAAAAAAAATTTTTTAAAAATGTGTCCTTTGCTGATACATATCCTTAAGTAGCTCTTGAAAATTTATTTCTCCATGAGATTGCTTGTTCCCTCTAACAAAGGTGGATATGGCGTCAATGGCTGGACCACCCTCACTGCACAGCACCTTCCTGTCACAGGACACTGAGGCCCTGCCAACTCCACATTTTGCAGAATCCACAGAGAACTGACACTGAAGAGATGCCTAGTAAACATGGTGCATGGAGAGGTGTTACAATCACCAAAGAAATTTCAGAATGGCAAAAAACCCTAAGTACATTGGGAAGGTGGGAAGGTCATCACCTTTGCCTCCATCCTGAGAAAGCAGGGGTACATTCATATCTTCAAATGTTATGAGTGTAGTAACACAAAAAAGCCTCCATCCAGAGCTCTATTCCTTTTTGAGCACTAGAATGTTCTTCTGAGAAAGACTTTATAAAGGCACGGAGTATGGCTCAGCTTTAAGCGAAATTTTGCTTTCCCCTCTGCACCAAAGGACTCAAGTGCAGAGAATGTAGGCATTTGCATTCCAAGCTTCTTTCTTGTTAGCATCAAAAGATCCATATTAGAGAACAGTTGTACAAATTCAGTAATTACATGAAAATTTTCAAGAACAGGGACACCTGGGTGGCTCAGCGGTTAAGCGTCTGCCTTTCGGCTCAGAGCGTGATGCTGTAGTCCTGGGGATGGAGTCCCACATCAGGCTCCCCGCGTGGAGCCTGCTTCTCCCTCTGCCTATGTCTCTGTTTCTCTCTCTGTGTGTCTCTCATGAATAAATAAATAAAATCTTTTAAAAAAAACATATTAAACCTGTTTCACACAATCACCACTGGAGAAAGGCATAATGAGTACAGCTGATGTTAGAAAGCCTTTTCTCTATAGATCTTGGAAACTAGCCCTTTATCTGAAATGTCATTTGCAAATATCTTCTCCCATTCTGTAGGTTGTCTTTTAGTTTTGTTGACTGTATCTTTTGCTGTGCAAAAGCTTCTTATCTTGATGAAGTCCCAATAGTTCATTTTTGCTTTTGTTTCTTTTGCCTTCGTGGATGTATCTTGCAAGAAGTTACTGTGGCCAAGTTCAAAAAAGGGTGTTGCCTGTGTTCTCCTCTAGGATTTTGATGGAATCTTGTAAGATCTTGTAAGATCAAGATCTATAAAGAACTTCTTAAACTCAACACCAAAGAAACAAACAATCCAATCATGAAATGGGCAAAAGACATGAAGAGAAATCTCACAGAGAAAGACATAAGACATGGCCAACATGCACATGAGAAAATGCTCTGCATCACTTGCCATCAGGGAAATACAAATCAAAACCACAATGAGATACCACCTCACACCAGTGAGAATGGGGGAAATTAACAAGGCAGGAAACCACAAATGTTGGAGAGGTTCCGGAGAAAAGGGAACCCTCTTACACTGTTGGTGGGAATGTGAACTGGTGCAGCCACTCTGGAAAACTGTGTGGAGGTTCCTCAAAGAGTTAAAAATAGACCTGCCCTACGACCCAGCAATTGCACTGTTAGGGATTTACCCCAAAGATACAGATGCAATGAAACGCCGGGACACCTGCACCCCGATATTTATAGCAGCAATGTCCACAATAGCCAAACTGTGGAAGGAGCCTCGGTGTCCATCGAAAGAGGAATGGATAAAGAAGATGTGGTCTATGTATACAATGGAATATTACTCAGCCATTAGAAACGACAAATACCCACCATTTGCTTCAACGTGAATGGAACTGGAGGGTATTATGCTGAGTGAAGTAAGTCAATCGGAGAAGGACAAACATTATATGTTCTCATTCATTTGGGGAATATAAATAATAATGAAAGGGAATATAAGGGAAGGGAGAAGAAATGTGTGGGAAATATCAGAAAGGGAGACAGAACATAAAGACTCCTAACTCTGGGAAACGAACTAGGGG